GAAGGGCCGCTATATATTTAACAGAGTTTTTTTTTTTTAATTCATTTTGAATATATTTTATTTGCAATTTTTTAAGGTTTTTTCGATTTTTTTTTCATTTGTTTTTTCTTTACGTTATATTTTGCTTTGCTGCTCAAAATCTTGGAAGTAAGACATTTTGAATCTATGAAGAAAATATGCAAAGAGTTAGAAATAATACAGGAAAATACAATTTGATTATTAGTTTTATTTTTTTAATAACCGCCGTTAAACAACCGACTCAATTTTGAGTTTACGACTACCGTAGCCTTGTAATTTTGAACCCAATCCATAACACAAGGGAACTGCTGGATCAGTACCCAGAAGTATTTATCTATTATGAGAACTTGGAGGACTTTGTGACCCCGACAGATTTAACTTGCTTCAGTAACCATTTTACACATGGGTAATCTTCTGTTTTCTGGATTCAAAATCCCATTCTCACGAACACGAGTCCAACGCCCTATCAACCAGGCTATCCCGGCCAAATTTATTAATTTATTTTATAACAGTCATTGCACAGCCGACCCAATTTCAAGTTTACGAATACTAATATTCAACACCGTGGTCTTGTCATTTTGAACCTAATCCAGCAGTCCCTACACTCTGGAGCAGGTGAGGGCCGTTATATTAATACTGTTTGCAAAAATAAAAATAATAAAAAGAACATTTCGTAAGCTGATATTATTTAATTGATGCTTATATAAAAAATATTTCTTCATTATTTTTGCTTTCTTTTTAATTGTTTTAAGTACATTTGTTAAATTTTAGTGCAGGAATAAAAATTTTCATTATTTATGTAAATTTTTGGCTTATATTTTTAAGGATGTATTTAATCAGGGGTCTGTCCAGACATTTTGTGAAAGGTCCGTTTTTGTAAAATTGTGAAAAAATTACTCGTAATTTGTGAATATAAAATAAACGTTAAGTCACATTCTTTCAACCAGGGTCCGCTTTTGTGAATTTGGGCAAATAGGGTCCGTTATTGCAAAAAAACTTTTTCAAGGAGTTTTTAAATTGTAAAGACATACAAGATTATGCTCAACACTGTAAAATTATAGTTAAAGAAATTAAATTTTAAAAAATAAACAGCAATTGCAGCGACTAAATTAGCGATTCAACATATAAATAATTGGTATTTAGCCTATACTGCTGAACGCAGAATATTTATTTCGGACGAATAAAGGAAGAAGCGTCTGCCGAAGACAAAATTTAGTTCATTTACATCTGTCTTTCTCCTCCCCTTCCTGGGAAGGGTTTATTCGATTAACAAAACAATAATGAAGATAAACAAATTTATAAAGGTCCGATTAAAAGATAAATTATTTTGTGAAGGGTCCGTTTTTATGAAAAGATATTTTGTGAAGGGTCCGTTAACGGACTCGAATTTCTTCTAAACAGACCCCTGATTAAAGGGTCTATTATATGTCAGAGAGAATAAATATGATACTGGTTTTGGGCATCTAGCCAAAACGAGCATTCAACATATCAATGTAACACAAACAATTAGCTTTAGATAATTACAATTGTAGAATAATTATTTTATTATGGAATGAAATGTTTTAAAAGACAAATATGTTTAATATTTAATCAATGAAGAAACAGAACCAATTTGAAATGTAACGAATTTATTATTTTTAATTACTGATAAATTTTGTGACAGAAAAAAAATTAAAGCCTGATAGATTTCAGAATTTTAGAAACATCCTCTAGTTTTACTATTCAATCAAATAGGTTTCGATGTCGTTCATCCCGCCTGTCTCATAAGCGATTCAACATATTTCAATATCATTTCTCTTTCGTTCTTACTTAATATTAATTTGTTTACGACAGTTAATTAGTATACCTTTTTTACTACATTTTTCGAGGAGTTTAAAAATATAATATTGAGGATTTTAACCGAAATGAAATTTGCTTTCCGACAAGCGTCCGACAAAGTAAAAAAAGAAAAAAAATGCATTTTGGGCTTCAGAGGGCCTCAGTTCCGAATAAAACTTTTAAAAAAAGAGGGGGGGAGTAGGATTTGGGGGCCTTTGTCATCTCGGGGCCCCAAGCTACAGCTTATAGCTTATACGTAAATCCGGCATTGCACTCGATAATGATTTTTGCAAGGTGAAACTGTCATTCTGATAATAATGATCAAATTAAATCTTGTCAATTTATGAACTTACTTATCACTTTGAACAATTATTTTCCCTTATGACCAATATTATAGACAAATTAAGAAGTCGTTTAATGATGAATGCCTCAAAAGTTGCATGGTGTTAAAAATTCATCGTTGGAGAAACTTACTCTTAAGTTGGAACAGCTTTACTCAAAGTGAAAAAAAAACATTACTCTAAGTGAAAACAACTTTCTGCCTCTACTCAATCCCAAAAATCTAATTAAATGTAAAAAAATATGAGACTCAAATAAGTAACATTAATTTGTATTTTAGGCAATGCTAGATAACTTACTGGAATAAAGTTTTTTACTGTAAAGTTTATTTTAACAAGTTAAAAAATAGGGGTAATAAAAAAGACAAAATAAGTTTATCCCTTTTCTTTAGAACTCTGAATAATATTTTCTGTTACCAGGTCAAATAAAGTTTTACAATAAATACACGTTTCACAGCAGATTAGTTACCTTTTTAAGTAGATAAGTTATTTGTTGATGCATGCATTTGCAATTGGTTCTTTAAAAAAAAAATAATTTACCACACAGAGAAAAAAAATAGCTTTACTGTAGCTTAGAAAAGCTTACAAATAGCTGAAATGTCGCTTTGAGTTTGATAAAAAAATACTATGAGTTACAATTATTATTTTTCTAAATATTACGAGCAAAATTTAGTTTCATTTTGCCACTTAATGACATGTTAATAATTTTTCATGGTAAACTAACATACACAAATTTTTAAAAAAAGGGAATTTACTAAAACAAATATTTAAAAAAGACTAGTGAAATTTTTCTAGTGAACTAGAAAAATTTCACTAGCCTTTTGTCACGTCTAAAACTAATAACTTAGAACGAAAGCATAACAAAACTTCTTTCTAAAACAGACCCCCCTTCCCCCAAACTATCCTTCGAAAGTTACACTATGTTTTTCGTTTTGGGTGTTACAAAATAGAATTATTTTCTGCTCCTTATTCCACTTGAAAACATAGTTTCTAAAATCATTATTTCAATTTCATAATCAAATATTTCATTTTATTGAATCTTATTAAGTTTCCACAATATTTTTCTGTGAAAATTTCAAACACCAATGGGTTTAATTCATTTTCAATATTTATTAATTTGTACATTTACTTTCATTTATGTGCAAATTGCGGTCTCGTTTGTGAACAGATTTTATTATATTATTAAATTATTTAAAAAAAATTATACGACATGAATAACAATAACAGAGTTATTACTTAAGCTCTTTGAAAAATAAAAATACAAGTAATTGCAAACTCAACTGATTTAATTTTTTTTTTTGTTATAAAAGCTAGAAAAGTGTTTTGAATTTTTTGAGAAAGATTACATTTTAAGAGAATACAATCAAATCTAAAAACAGTTTCTGACTTACTTTGATTTTCACGTATTTGAAAAATAAACTATAAAAGCTGATAAAGACAATAGGAAAGTTATGTGATACTTAGATTACAGTATTTTTTAGTACTATTGTAATTTAAATTTTTTTTATGGAAGAAATTTAGATTTGAACATGTTTACAATCGAAGAATTATGAATAATTCTTAAGACTTTCTACTACTACATAGATTTATAAGAAAATAAAAAAGTGCTGAGGAACTAGTGGTAATTGAAATTTGATTGCGTTACTTTTACATTAGCATAAAAATAATTAATTTTGAAACATAACAAGTTTTTTTTTAATAAATCTATTAAAGCATTCATTTCTAACCAAAGAATGCTCAGTATACATTTAAGAAAATTTACTAAATATATCTAGTGAGTATTGTGATACAAATCACGTTTACAACTTTTAATGATATATTTTAATATATTAACAAAACAGGACAAAATTATTAATAAGGTATAGGTTATTTTGTTTAGTTTTTTTTGTTTGTTTTTTTTTTGTTTTCTTTAATTTAACATGTAATAGCTTTCATTGTTCTTTAAATGCTGTTGATAGTGGTTTAGATTAATATATTGAATAAAAACAATTATTGTGTTAACTATATTACAGGAGAACAAATTACAGGTTAAAAAATATACCAGTGAACAATTTAGAGCTAAAAACGCATGTTACAAACGCATGAAACTTAAAAATTAAATTGAAATAATAACTTTTAATTTAACAGTAGAAAGCTTTTGTTTTATTGCAAGTTATTTTCAATTGAATTGTTCTTTATCGAAGATCTAATTAATCATCAATAGTATAGACATTATCATAAAAATTCCGCTTGGATAAAAAATATTCTGATATATTCTGATCGGTTAGTTAAATTCAACTATGAAAATGATTTCTTAAAAATGAGTATTTTTGAAATGCAAAACAATGCCGTTGAAATAATATAGTTATTTTGAAATATTAACAAATTATAATTTAAGGAGCCAATAACGTAAAAATTTATAGGCTACTTTAAAATTATGTTATTATGTAATTCAAAACTTTAATTTAAAGAATAAATTTTAACTGCTTTAAAATTATAGCTACGAAACAATTTAGATCAAAAGTAAAATTTAAAGAATGAAGTTTAATTGCTTTATATACTATCACTGGAAAAGATGTAATGTAAAGAAAAAAGATAGTGAAATAAATTTAATTAGAGATTTACAAGTATTAAGTCAAAACTATAACTTAAAGATTGAATTTGATTTTTCTTTCATAAAATTGGCAGTTTAAACCAAAATACTTTTATGTTTATTTCTTTGAATTACTTAATTCTTCCAAACTTAAAACAATGAAACTAAAAACAAACCATATTTTAATAATATATAGCATTAGATATTTACAAAATCCAGTTAATTTGAAAGTAAATGAATATTGTCAGACATACTTTATTAATGGAGTCGTCGTTGAAGGCATTGCTGTATTTAAGCCGGTACTTAAATAATCCACCAGGTGAAAAATCAAATGTGATTTAATGCACGCAGCTACTGAACTGTCAAACACTATAAACAAAATAATTTTCAAAGAAACAGATGAATCATTTAGGTTTATCTTTTTTCGAACTACAAGCTCTAACTATCTCATCATTGATACTGTAGCATAACCTTTGATTCGACAGATGTTCTTTTTTTCTTTCTGCTTTGAACGCTGTTTAGAATAATAAATCAAGGACGTATTGGACGTCATTTAGCTCAGCGTCCATGTCTAATTAGATTTTAATTGAGTGTTTATATTTAAGATAATTTTATTTTAAGGTATGTTCCATTGAAGAAAAAGCTAGCTCATTCCTTTTTGTTATATTGATGAAAAACTTAAGTTAATTACTCGTTAAGAATTTATACAGTTATGAATAAAACTAAGAACAAATTGCGCTTCTTTCTTTTTTATATATAACATTGTTATTGGAATGGATTGGAGTTTTCGTCCCGCAGTGGACTGATCGTTAAGGCACGGTTCGCAGCAGATCACCGAAGTCAAGGCATCACTGGCTGCGGTCAGTGTGCAGGTGGATGACCACTTGGATTATTCTGCGTAGGGACCGAGGGTGTGCTGTATTGGTCCTCGTTAAACTATTCTACCGTAAAGTGCTAGACTTCGCGTGCAGGTTGTCGGGCTACCGAAGCGGGGGTGCCATCCCCTCTGCAGAGGATCAAAATTGTCTTCGAATCATCCTCAGGGATGTTTCCCAGACCGTCGCCAATAGCCCATTATGCAGCTCTAGTGCGACGTAAATGAGCTACAGCTACGGATTGGAGTTTTCTTTATTTATTTATTTCAGGGATAGCCTGGTTGGTAGGGCGTTGGGCCAATATCCGAGAGGTCGTGAGTTCGAACCCCGCAGGCAGAAGACTCCCTGTGTGTAAAATGGTGACTGGTGCATGTTGAATCTTTCAGTCACAAAATCCTCCAAGTTCTCAAAACAAATCAATACCTATTTGATTACTGGATCGGAGATTGATCGTGCTTTGGTTCAGGTCAAAATTACGATCTGCGAAATGGATTGATGGTGTGTGAATGTGCCCCTACCGTAAAACGGGTTGTAACGAATGCCTGTTGTCACAGGAACATCCTCAGGGATGTTTCCCAGACCATCTCCAATAGCCAATGGAGTACAGCTCTAGTGTGACGTAAATAAAAAGTTCTTTCTTTATTTCTTTTACATATACGGGCTCAGTAAAAGGAGCCTCTGTATCCAAAGGGTTTCACTCTTCTGCCAAATGCTGTAAAGAGTAGATGTAGCGGGTTCGAATTCCACTTTTACCCTAGATGTACCTTTATGATGGCCTTCTCTAACATGTGCTTTGTGTTCTTCAACCTAACCAGGGCTTATAAAATCCATTCTTTTTGATGAGCACACAACCTGCACATGTATATAGATAACAATAAATAAATAAATATTGCCGTTTCTTTCTTCTTCATTCATGAAACTGACAAGACTTTTCAGTGCCTTTGTTCGCTAGAGCCGAGAGCAAATATTTATAAATTTTTATTTATTACTACATATTCACTTGCAGGCTTGTGATTTCTTTACAAGTTATGACTTAAAAGCCCTTTTCAAGTTTAACTATATAATAAAGATAAATTAGAAAAGGGTTGGTAGATACTTTACTTACGTCGCACTAGAGCTGCACCATGGGATATTGTCGGTTTGGGAAACATCTCTAAGGATGATACATGTCATCTCAATTTTGTTCCACTGAAGAGAGGCAGGCTCCTCCGCTTAAGTAGTTCAATAACTTGTGCGCGAAGTCGAGTATTTTATCGTAGAATAATTTAGCAAGGACCTTTACCGCGCATCCACGGTCCCTAAGCAGGCTGATCAAAGCGGACGCTCACTTACTTTCTGACAGCAATCGGTGATTCCTGACTTCGGTGTTCTACAGGGTCTTTACTATTAGCACAGTGAGGAACCCACATGGCGATAAGTTGTGTCCCTTAGTGTCATATTGCCGATAGGGTATCGCCCGTGACCAACTGTATTCAATACATAAAAATCGTGAATTCATTAAGTTGTGCCCTTAATCGCCTTTGCTAATAAACACATCTTGTCGGAAGAAATTGACTCATGGCTTTGCGGTATTTGCAAGCTGACGATGCTTACCCAGAAAAGTATTTTATTGTTATCCTTGAATGTACTCCTTGCATACAAACACAGTCTTTAGAAATTCTTGAAGATCTATTTATTTATCCAGAATGGTATTGTTGCTTTGAAATTAACATATCGCAAAAGATTTATTGTGATCGAAAACTTTTACAACACCCAGAACTCGTGTTTCAAATAACATTTTACAGTGCTACTGCTTACAATAGTCCTGCTGAGACCCGATGGCAAAAAATGCAATTTTTACTTAAAAACATATAAATTAGAAGAAGCAAAGTCATAAATGCGATAAGTATTTTGAATAAAGTTTAGTTTTTTAATATAAATGAATTTTTGCAATTGTTTTTAATTATAACCAAAATAATAAATTTTTTCTGTTTTTAGCCAAATCAATACCTCTGGGGGTACTGGATCGGAGATTCGTCGTGCCCTGGTTCAAGTCAAAATTACGATCTACTGATGGATGGACGGTGTGTGAATGTAAAACGGGATGTGACGTATGCATGTTGACTCAGGATCATGCTCAAGGATGTTTCCCAGATCGTCACCAATAGTCCATGGTGCAGTTCTCGTGTGACGTAAATAAAAGAGCCTCAACGTACCCAGTTTTCAGCTTTTTTATATTGTAGGATTGTTATTGCGTTACTTATGCCACTTGCCAATACCAGCAAGCCTGGTTGAAACCAAGCAAATTTTAAAGGCAGTGAGTTCGTTTCTTACTTTTCTTCTAGGGCCCCGCTTAGCTTTGCGAAAATGGGTCCCGCTTAGCTTTGCGAAAGTTAATATTATGCTTATCATTCCAAATAGGCAAAGCTACTTCAATTAACATCTTCATCTATTTACCAATAAACATTGTCTGGTGTCCACCGAAAATAAAAGAAAGTAGGAAAAACCAAGACAACTCAGAATGTTCCCATCGGAACTAAATATTATTTACTAACATTATTTCCGCAAACGAGAATCTTAATCTGCATGATTAAATCGATAGATATCTTTCACGATATACAATTCCACGTGATTTTAATCTTTATTTTAAAAACAAGTAGATGAAATTCACCGCAAAAACAATCCAAGATAGGAAATGTTCCCTGAAATAGATTATTAAGTCGTTAACCCGATGAAACGTGCTTTTATCGATTTGAAATCATTATTGAGATCTTCGCTTCATTGAGAGAATAAATCTGTGGAGAAACAATCCACATTAACACAGGCACGACAAATAATTACATCATACAGCATGTGATAAGATAATTTTAAGACTGCAAAAACTTCATACCAGCAAATGGTTGATCATGTATTCAGTTTAAAAACATTTCATCTCTTTATCAATTTTTAAGTATTGACAGATTTATTCCAAAAGTAGAAAAATTTCATGATTAAATCGAAAAATGTCTCCTAGAAATTTTATTTATAATAATAAAATAGTTCTTCAAGGTTCAAATTGTAATGTTGTATTATTTAAAGTTAACAGTAAATATTTTAAGGATCACGATATTATTTAATACTGATTTAAAAACGTTACTTTAGAAACTATGATTCATTGTTTATCTTTTCCGTCTACAAACGAACCATTCGTGTTTATGTTTTATTCATCTGAAATGAATAACCACAATTTCTGAATAGGCCTAACCGTCAATTTTATAAAAACATCCAAAAAATACTACCGAAAAAAGAAAATGGATTATTTATTTAAAATTAAAATGAATTGGTAACAGAGAAAAAAATCGAAGTTTTATTTCTAATTATATGCTGAGTTTTTAAAAAAGCATTTTTGTAATCATTTGAAACTATTAAAAATGTCAAAAAATGCAATACTATTATTAATAAATGCGTACAAACCCTCTCAACATCGTAGTATTGTTCCAAGATAGTATTTTTTTATTTTATTTCATTTTATAACTAGCTTTTAATAACTTACTCCTTTTCGGATTCAACTCCACAGTCTCGTACTTTTGAACACAACCCAGAAGACTAAGGAACTCTTGTATCAAGCATTAGGATTAACTAGCCTTTGTGGGAAACTTTTTGATGGAACTAATCCGCATTTGCGGTTTTAAAAAGTTAAAACAAATTTCATTTACTTGTTTAAAAGCAAGAGGATGAAATTCACATAAAAAAACAATCGAAAATAAGAAATGTTCCCTGAAATAGATTATTAAGTCGCTAATTAGCTGAAACATGTTTTTTATCGATTTAAAATTATTATTGAGGTTTTCGCTTTATTGAGAGAATAAATCTATGGTGCTATAGAAGGGAATAATTTCAAATAATACAGTCAAATAATACAGAAGGGAATAATTTCAAATAATACGACAAATAATTACATAATATAACACGTGTTTAGAAAGTTTTATGACGGCAAAAACTTCACGACTACTATCTCTTTATCACTGTTTAAGTATTGATAGATTCAAACTAAAAATAGTAAAACTTCATGGTTAAATGGATAAGCTCTAATAGAAATCATATTTATAATAATAAAGTTCATGTTTAGGGTTCATAATGTAATTTTATATTATTTGAAGGCAAAGATAATAGTTTAAAAATCACGATGTCATTTAATACCGACTGAAAAAATATAATTTTAGAGACTATAATTCATTGTATACTTTTTACTACAAAAGAATTATTTTGTGTTTATGTTTTATTCATCTTGAAAGAGTAATCATAAATTTCTGATGGGGATAGTCATCAATTTAATTTTTTTTTAAAAAAAACCTTCTGAAACCTCTGTGGGCAAAAACAAAATGGATAATTTATTTAAAATAAAAATAAATTTAATATTAAAAAAATCGAATTTTGTTTCTTATTATACATTAATTTTTAATAAAATAATATTTTTATTATTTGCAACTTCTAAAAAATATCACAAAACTGCAAAGAAAAACGCAATATTTATGACAAAATGAACGCACACAAACTCTCTCAGAATCGTAGCATTGTTTCCATCTTCATTTTATAACCGGCCTTGAACAACCTACCCATTTTCGGGTTAACGGTTATCAATGAACCTAACCCAAAAGACAAGGGAACATCTGGATTAAGCATCGGGTAGAATTAGCTTTCGTGGAGAACTTTTTGATAGAACTAACTTGCATCTGCTTTATGTGGAGAGGACATACCCCGAAAACCTTCAATGTTTAGCCCGACGGTTAAACCATGATTCGCTTACGTTGGGATACCTTTACGTCAGCACTGGGGTCGAGCCGGAATCAGAATTCGATTTGGCCGTTACTGTAATTCGGGTCAGAGTCACCTCATTTGGGGAAGACTCTATACTTTGAGT